AACATCAGAGTGCAGCGCCACATCAAATACGCACTACAATGACAATAGTTTAAAGCGATTTGAAGCATGGTTTATTATTTTTTAGGCGGGGGGGGGCAGAGCTTTGTGACGTCATTTGAGGGGGGGGTCTGACTTTTTGTGACGCCGTGTGACGATTGGGGGGGGGGGAGGGGTCAAAAATCGTCCAAAATCGCGTGACGTCATTTATGGACGGCCCCATAATGACACCTCGTGTCCCCAATGCATTCCCGAGACTCGCACAGAAGTTTCAGGGGGTGGGGGTGGGGCTCACCTCCCCCACTCTCCCTCCCACACACAACGCTGCTTTACAGAGGGCTCCGACTTCCTGCTCTGGGGTTTCCACCCCTCGCAGTGCAGCGAGAGGCGTCCCCAGCCAGCCGAGCATCCACCCAGGGAACCCGATGGCATCAAGCCTCCACGCGTGGCCGGTGCCAGGCTACGGCTGGCCTGGTCACCCGCTCCTGCCTCTCCTGCCAGGGCCTTGCTCCGTCCCAGAAGTCCCACCTGCCATGGTTCAATCCCCAGGTCGGACGCTGTAAACATAATAATATTACTACTCGTGTCGCCTAACGTTTCCCTGTAAAAATAAATATTCCGTGGAGGGGGAGACAGCCCTGAAACTGCTACTTACAGTGAAGATCCGCCGGTCCTCACTCGCGTCGCTGTTTGAGGGTGGGAGCTCACCCAGCCACGACTGGGGGGTGGGAGTGGTGGTAGTGGTGGTGGGAAAATGCTGCCGCTGCTTCTGCGTTGAGATCCACCCCCACTGTCGATTTGGGAGGTCCTTTTATAGTGTCTGCTCTCAGCCCATTGGTTAGTCCCTGGGCCAATCACGTGAGAGGTTCGACTCAATGATCTGAGATTCCCTCTCCCTGGTTGGCCTGTTCCACTCAAAACCTGTCCCTGCGTCGGTCTGACCACGCTGTGGCGGCTCCTGGCTCCACACAAAGGGCTGTGCCCAACAGCACGAGTCGCTCTCGCTCCAGCTTGATGGGTATGCCTCACGCACTCCGCCACACCACCCATCCTCGCAGCGCCTCACTGCTCTCCGAACCTCCGAGCGAAGGCTGCAGTAAGTAGGTCCCGAATTCAGACTACATAATCCGTAAAGCTATCAACCCAACGGTTGGGCATGATGGTGAAGAGATCCCACCAAGAGCCTCGTTACAAAAAAACATCATCACCGATTCGACATTTTTAATCGAACCAACCAAGCGGTTTCCCTTAAAACCCTCTGCTGGCTAGACCACCCAGATTGTATGGCTTACCAAAAATCCATAAAGAAGGTACACCCCTTCGTCCAATCGTCTCCACCAATGACTCACCCACCTACAAACTGGCCCGATTTCTGAGACCTTCCGACCATTCACTGGTAAGGCCGCCTCAGCTGTACTGAACTCAGCTCACTTGGTATCGTTAATTAAGGACATCTCACTTATCTCCAGGTGATTTGCTCGTTAGTTTCAATGTCGTCTCTTTGTTCACCAAAGTTCCTGTGCCTGACACCATTGCAATCATTGAAGATTTGGTCCAACAAGAGCTGAATGCTGATGTAGCGGCCCTGGTGAGACGCTGCCTCACCAACACTTACTTCCCCTGGAATGGAACAGTCCACAAACAAGTTGAAGGAACCCCAATGGGTTCTCCCTTATCTCCAGTTGTAGCCAATGTTTTCATTAATTTTTTTGAGACCGACGCCATCCAGGCATCCACTCTACACCTGTCCTGTGGAAGAGGCACGTGGATGACACGTTTGTCATCTGGCCACATGGCCGATCAGCTCTGAACCAATTCCTCAATCACATCAATTCCATACACCCAGCCATCAAATTCACTATGGAGGTGGAAAAGGATGGCAAGCTTTCATTCTTGGATGTTTTAATAAAAAAAGAGACCAGATGGCTCAATGGGACACTATCGACAGGAAAGCCACCCACACGGATGCCGACCTAAAACCTGACTCCCACCACCATCCATCCCAGAAGAATATCCTCGTGAAAACTCTGCACCATAGAGCTCGATGTATTTCCGACCATCACCACCTAGCCAGTGAACTGGAACACATACCAAGCCCTCAAGACGAATGGATATTCAGACTACACAATCCGTAAAGCTATCACCCCAACCGTTGGGAAATAACCTTCTGAGGACCCAATCAAAACCATCACCTTGCCATACATAGCAGGGGTCACCAAAATCATGAGCAAACACAAGATTCAGGTTCGATTTAACACAGTACATAAAATTCGTGATCGGATCCCATCTGTGAAGGATATGATCCCTGACATGCAATATCCCGGCGTCTACAAACTAAGCTCTGTCTGCGGCAGTAGTTACATTGGGGAAACTAAGCGACATGTCTCGGACCGTGTTCGTGAACACAAGGCAGATCTGAAACACGGAAGGACCAATACCTCAGCCGTGGCTGATCATTGTTTTAATGCGGTGGGCTCACACGAAATTCATTTCTCTAAGACGAAGGTACTTTGCAAACCCACTGGTTATCAACAAAGATTCGTTCATGAAGCCATCCATATCTAGACAATTTCAACCGAGATGGGTACAAACTTAGCAATCATTTGGAAGGACTTAAAAACCAGTTTAAGTCATAACTGGCTGTAATGTTTCTATTTTAGACCTGGCAGCCCTTGAATTGGTGGAAGCCCACCACCAGCGCCGACGTGGCCGTACACGAGTACCATCACGTGAACATTCGGTGCCCCGCCCATGCTGCTGACACACCTGGGCCACGCCAATCTCTAAACCTTCATAAAGTTTGCCTTTAGAGGCCAACGCCCTTTTCCTGATGGCGACCGCTTGTGTTGCTGCAGTCACGAAAGCTGTAAGTCAAGAAGATTTTTGTTCCTTCTGGAGGAACCCCCGGGGGGGAAGGAGTTAGTCTCCTGGCTCCACCAAATGGGGTTTGGCCAGGAGACGTCATAGAAGCCTGTCCCCTCGGGGCCTCTGGCACCAGCTTAGACGGATATATCTTACTGGTAGGAAACGTAGTGGACTGGAAGCCCAACCGGGATTAATTCACAGGAGGCAGGGGATTAATTGTGTATGTCTGTGGATGTCTGTCCACCTGGGAGGGGTGGGGCTGGGTGGAGAGGGGAGGGTGGAGAGGGGCTGGGTGGGGAGGGGTGGGGAGGGGCTGGGTGGGGGGGTGGGAGGGGTAGGGCTGGGTGGGGATGGTCACCCCGTGGTGCCCTTATATGGACTGGAAGCCGAACCGGGATTAATTCACAGGAGGCAGGGGATTTTACACTGCACTTTCTGGCGTCGTTTTATAATTCTGCTCACTCTTCATTTTGCTTTCTTCTGCGCACAACCCTCACAAGTTTGGCTTAAATATCCGTACATAATTACTTCAAAATTTCCTACCAGCCCCCTCCGCAGGAATGTTTCACGTGGTTTTAGTCGTAATTAATTAAAGGTGGAGGGGTTACCAGCCCCTTGCACCCATCCAGAGCCCCAATTTGGCCTCTGTGGTGGCTACAAATACCATGAAGGGAATGGCCAATCGAAATTAGCCCTCCCCCCCCATGGCACTGCTCACCACAGCGTTTACCGTGCGGCACCAACGGGGAAGTAGAGGGTTATTTTACCCACACACGCACGCAGTGCAAAAAAAAAGTGCCAGGCTGGCTTGGCACGGTTGTGGTTGTGCCAGTGGAAAGAAAATCAAATGCGCCAGGCTGGCATGGAACGGTTGTGGTTGTGCCAGTGGAAAAACTGTGCTGGGCTGGCTTGGCACGGTTGTGGTTATGTCAGTGGAAAAAAAAATCAACTGTGCTGGGCTGGCTTGGCACGGTTGTGGTTGTGGAAAAAAAATCAACTGTGCTGGGCTGGCTTGGCACGGTTTGTGATGGTGTGCCAATGGGGAAAAACAGACACCAAAATGAACATGGCAGGGTGGACTTAAAAAGACGTCTTTATTTACAGTTTAGGAGACACTCACACAGCCCCCCCCCCCGCTCCTTATCCCCCCCACAGATACACAACACGCGCACGACACACACACGCACACACGCGCACAACGACACACACACGCACACACGCAGGTCCCACCTCCCCCGTGACGTCTTCAACAAGACTGTTCGACCAAGTGCTGAGTAGCGCATGGCAGCAGCTGGCACTGAGGCACACAAGGGTGGTTGTTGTGGGGGCGGTGGACAGCACCACGCCCGGCCACCTTTGTCTCCCCCAGTGGCGATGTTTGCTACACACCGCTACACCAGGTACTCATCTGAGGCTGAGTCGACCTAGGGGAGGAGGTCCAGGACCAGTTCAGATAATCGCTGTCACTGCTGTTGGCCGTGAGAGGGAAGCACTACCGCTCCCCACTACACACGGACACGCCAACACACACCATGACACACACGGACATCCTTACACACACACACGGACACGCCAACACACACCGACACACACGGACATCCTTACACACAAGGACACGCCAACACACACCCTGACACACACAGACATCTTTACACACACACAAGGACACGCCAACACACACCCTGACACACACGGACATCCTTACACACACACAAGGCCACGCCAACACACACCCCGACACACACAGACATCTTTACACACGGACATGGCAACACACACACCCCGACACACACGGACATCCTTACACACACACCGCTAGACACACACGGACACGCTTACACACACACATGGACACACCGCTAGACACACACGGACACGCTTACACACACACGGACACACCCTACACACACACGGACACACCCCTAGACACACACGGACACACCCCTAGACACACACCTACACACACGGACACACCCCTAGACACACACCTACACACACACGGACACACCCCTAGACACACACGGACACACCCCTAGACACACACGGACGCACCTACACACACACACGGACGCACCTACACACACACACCTCCTTGCACACGTGAGTGTGTGTGTGCTGGGGGAGATGCGGTGGTGCCCCCCCCCGTGGTGACGTCACTCCGACTCCTCCCCCTCTTCCCGCTTCTTCTTCTTCTTCCGCTTCTTCCTCGTCGCCTCGTCCACCTGCAGGCGAGTGAGTGAATGAGTGGGTGGGTGAGTGAATGAGTGGGTGGGTGGGTGAGTGGGTGAGTGAGTGGTTGAGCAGGTAGGTGAGTGGATAGCCGAGTGAGCAGATTCCCTATGCTACACAATCAGAAAAGTCGACTCATCTCAGCCTTGCCTAAACCACCAACTCTGCGTCTCTACTTGACGTAGCGATCAGAAAAGTCGACTCATCTCAGCCTTGCCTAGACCACAAACTCTGCGTCTCTACTCGGCGTGCGATCAGAAAAGTCGACTCATCTCAGCCGACGGGGAGGGGGGGGGGCCGTGGGGGGCCCAGAGGCCCCACCCCCCTCCAACCCCGCCTGCCCCCTCCTCCGCCGACCAATCGGCGCTCGGCTCCCAGAGGCCGTTGGCCAATGGGAGCTGAGCTTACTCCCCCACCCGGCAAGACGCTGGGGGGGGAGCGGCCGTGGTGGGGAGAGGGGGCGGTGGCTCTGAGAATGGATAAACATCATCATCACTTCGCACCACTACCACCACCACTACCACCACCACTATCACCACTACCACCACTACCACAGTCATCGTGACGACCATAAACATCATCATCACTTCGCACCACTACCACCACCATTACTACCACCACTATCACCACTACCACCACCACTACCACCACTACCATCACTACCACCACCACCACCACTAACCACCACCACTACCACCACAGTCATCATGACCATAAACATCATCATCACTTCGCACCACTACCACCACTACCACTACCACCACTACCACCACTACCACTACCACCACTACCACTACCACCACTACCACTACCACCACCACCACTACCACCACTACCACAGTCATCATGACGACCATAAACATCATCATCACTTCGCACCACTACCACCACTACCACCACCACCACTACCACCACCACTACCACCACTACCACAGTCATCATGACGACCATAAACATCATCATCACTTCACACCACTACCACCACCACTACCACCACCACTATCACCACTACCACCACCACTACCACCATTACTACCACCACGACCATAAACATCATCATCACTTCGCACCACTACCACCACCACTACCACCATTACTACCACCACGACCATAAACATCATCATCACTTCGCACCACTATCACCACCACTACCACCACCACCACTACCACCACCACTATCACCACTAGCACCACCACTACCACAGTCATCGTGACGACCATAAACATCATCATCACTTCGCACCACTACCACCACTACCACCATTACTACCACCACCACTAACCACCACCACCACTACCACCACTATCACCACTAGCACCACCACAGTCATCATGACAACCATAAACATCATCATCACTTCGCACCACTACCACCACCACTACCACCACCACTACCACCACTACCACTACCACCACTAACCACCACCACCACCACTACCACCACTAGCACCACTAGCACCACCACCACCACCACTACTACCACCACCACTACCACCACCACTACCACCACCACTACCACCACGACTACCACAGTCATCATGACGACCATAAACATCATCATCACTTCGCACCACTACCACCACCACTACCACCACTACCACTACCACCACCACTACCACCACTATCACCACTAGCACCACCACCACCACCACTACTACCACCACCACTACCACCACCACTACCACCACCACTACCACCACTACCACCATTACTACCACCACCACCACCACTAACCACCACCACTACCACCACTATCACCACTAGCACCACCACCACTACTACCACCACCACTACCACCACCACTACCACCACCACTACCACTACCACCACTACCACCACGACTACCATAAACATCATCATCACTTCGCACCACTACCACCACCACTACCACCATTACTACCACCACCACTAACCACCACCACCACTACCACCACTATCACCACTAGCACCACCACCACCACCACTACTACCACCACCACTACCACCACCACCACTACCACCACTACCACCATTACTACCACCACCACCACCACTAACCACCACCACTACCACCACTATCACCACTAGCACCACCACCACTACTACCACCACCACTACCACCACCACTACCACCACCACTACCACTACCACCACTACCACCACGACTACCATAAACATCATCATCACTTCGCACCACTACCACCACGACCACCACCACTACCACCACCACTAGCACCACTACCACCACCATTAGCACCACTACCACCACTACCACCACCACCACCACTACTACTACCACCACCACTACCACCACTACCACAGTCATCATGACGACCATAAACATCATCATCACTTCGCACCACTACTACCACTACCATAGTCATGACGATCACGATGATGACGGTGACGACGATCATATTAACTATGAGGACGATGACGACCACGATCACGGTAACTATGACGACCACGGTAACTATGACCACCACGATAACCATGATGACGATGATAAACTCGCCCCCTCCCTCCGCACGATCCCGACCACAAGCTCTGTGATCCCACCACTACGGTGTTGGGCACCACCACCACCACCCACCTCCTCCTCCTCCTCCTCGGCCGTCCCTGCCGAGGCCTCCATAGCCTCCTCCTTCTTCTTCTTCTTCTTCTCCTTCTTCTTCAGCGACGACGACGGCGTCGCTGCTGCTGCGGCGTCGCCGCCGCTGTCGCCACCGCTCCCCCGGTCGCCGGATGTCTCCGCCAGGAGCTTCGTCTTCTTCTCCTTCTTAATCTTCTTCTTGCCGGGCGACGGCGGCGTTGTCGGCGGCGCCTGCCGTGCCTCCCCATCGCTCTCGCCGGCGCGCTTCCTCTGTGCGGGCGACAACATCGACAAGCCGGCAAGTTAACCACCAGATCTTGACTCACGATCCTCACCGGCTACGGTCGTAGCAACTTCTAATAGCTTCAATAATAATAATAGCTTTAATAATAGCTTCAATAATAATAATAGCTTCAATAATAATAGCTTCAATAATAATAATAGCTTTAATAATAGCTTCAATAATAGCTTCAATAATAATAGCTTTAATAATAGCTTTAATAATAATAGCTATAATAGCTTTAGTAATAATAGCTTTAATAATAGCTATAATAATAAGAGCTTTAATAACAATAAGCTCTAATAATAAGCTTTAATAATAATAGCTTCAATAACAATAAGCTTTAATAACAATAATTTTAATAACTTTAATAATAACAACTTTAATAATAACTTCAATAATAATGGCTTTAACAATAATAGCTATAATTATAGCTATAATAATAGCTTTAATAATAATTTTTATAATAACTTTAATAATAATAACTTTAATAATAGCTTTAATAATAATTTTTATAATAACTTTAATAATAATAACTTTAATAATAGCTTTAATAATAATTTTAATAACTTTAATAGTAATAACTTTAATGATAATAACAACTTTAATAATAATAACTTTAATAATAATAACAACTTTAATAATAACTTTAATAATAATAACTTTAATAATAGCTTTAATAATAATAACTTTAATAATAATATAAATAATAACTTTAATAATAATAACAACTTTAATAATAATAACTTTAATAATAACTTTAATAGTAATAACTTTAATAATAGCTTTATGTCTTAACCAAGGCGTTCGCTCGCAAGTTACGACAATTCTTATCAACGAGAAGTTTTTTTGGGTTAAAACGCTTAAATCTAAACCGCCGTCGACGTCACGGTGACGTCACGGTGACGTCACGGAGACGGCGACGTCGGGGGGGGGGGGTGGTGACGTCACGGTGACGTCACGTGACGTCGCCGTCGCGGTGACGGTGACGTCGCGGTGACGGTGACGTCGCGGTGATGTCGCGGTGACGGTGATGTAGCGGTGACGTCGCGGCGACGGTGATGTAGCGGTGACGTCGTGGTGAAGGTGACGTCGTGGTGACGTCGTGGTGAAGGTGACGTCGTGGGTGATGGTGATGTAGCGGTGACGTCGTGGTGACAGTGATGTAGCGGTGACGTCGTGGTGAAGGTGACGTCGTGGTGACGGTGATGTAGCGGTGACGTCGTGGTGAAGGTGATGTAGCGGTGACGGTGACGTCGTGGTGACGGTGATGTAGTGGTGACGTCGTGGTGAAGGTGACATCGTGGTGACGGTGATGTAGCGGTGACGTCGTGGTTAAGGTGATGTAGCGGTGACGTCGTGGTGACGGTGATGTAGCGGTGACGTCGTGGTGAAGGTGATGTCGTGGTGACGGTGATGTAGTGGTGACGTCGTGGTGAAGGTGACATCGTGGTGACGTCGTGGTGAAGGTGACGTCGTGGTGATGGTGATGTAGCGGTGACGTCGTGGTGACGGTGATGTAGCGGTGACGTCGTGGTGAAGGTGACGTCGTGGTGACGGTGATGTAGCGGTGACGTCGTGGTGAAGGTGATGTAGCGGTGACGGTGACGTCGTGGTGAAGGTGATGTAGTGGTGACGTCGTGGTGAAGGTGACATCGTGGTGACGGTGATGCAGCGGTGACGTCGTGGTGAAGGTGATGTAGCGGTGACGGTGACGTCGTGGTGACGGTGATGTAGCGGTGACGGTGACGTCGCGATGACGGTAATGTAGCGGTGACGTCGTGGTGAAGGTGACGTCGTGGTGATGGTGATGTAGCGGTGATGGTGACGTCGCGGTGATGGTGACGGTGATGTAGCGGTGACGGTGATGTAGCGGTGACGGTGGCCCACCTTAGCCGGAGGCATCCCCGCCTCCTCCCCATCCCCCGTCGCTGCCGGGGCGGCTGCCGCAGATTTCTTTGACGGACCGCGCCGGCCGGCACTGAGCGGGGGGGACGGAAAAAAAAACAAAATCCACAAAGAGGGGAGGGGGGTGAGAGGGTGGTGGGGTGAGAGGGGGGTAAGATGGTGGTGAGATGGTGGTGAGATGGTGGGGTGAAATGGTGGTGGGGTGAGAGGGTGGTGAGATGGTGGTGAGAGGGGGTGGGGTGAGAGGGTGGTGGGGTGAGATGGAGGTGAGATGGTGGGGGGGTGAGATGGTGGGGGGGTGAGATGGTGGGGGGGTGAGATGGAGGTGAGATGGTGGGGGGGTGAGATGGTGGAAGGGTGAGATGGTGGGGGGGGTGAGATGGTGGGGGGGTGAGATGGTGGTGGGGTGAGATGGTGGGGGGGTGAGATGGTGGGGGGGGTGAGATGGTGGGGGGGTGAGATGGTGGGGGGGTGAGATGGAGGTGAGATGGTGGGGGGGTGAGATGGTGGGGGGGTGAGATGGTGGGGGGGTGAGATGGAGGTGAGATGGTGGGGGGGTGAGATGGTGGGGGGGTGAGATGGTGGGGTGGTGAGAGGGTGGTGAGATGGTGGTGAGATGGAGGTGAGATGGTGAGATGGTGGGGGGGTGAGATGGTGGGGGGGTGAGATGGTGGGGGGGTGAGATGGTGGTGAGATGGTGGTGGGGTGAGTTGGTGGTGAGATGGTGGGGGGGTGAGATGGTGGGGGGGTGAGATGGTGGTGGGGTGAGATAGTGGGGGGGTGAGATGGTGGGGGGGTGAGATGGTGGGGGGGTGAGATGGTGGGGGGGTGAGATGGTGGGGGGGTGAGATGGTGGGGGGGTGAGATGGTGGGGGGGTGAGATGGTGGGGGGGTGAGATGGTGGTGAGATGGTGGTGGGGTGAGATGGTGGGGGGGTGAGATGGTGGGGGGTGAGATGGTGGGGGGGTGAGATGGTGGGGGGGTGAGATGGAGGTGAGATGGTGGGGGGGTGAGATGGTGGGGGGGTGAGATGGTGGGGGGGTGAGATGGAGGTGAGATGGTGGGGGGGTGAGATGGTGGGGGGGTGAGATGGTGGGGTGGTGAGAGGGTGGTGAGATGGTGGTGAGATGGAGGTGAGATGGTGAGATGGTGGGGGGGTGAGATGGTGGGGGGGTGAGATGGTGGGGGGGTGAGATGGTGGTGAGATGGTGGTGGGGTGAGTTGGTGGTGAGATGGTGGGGGGGTGAGATGGTGGGGGGGTGAGATGGTGGTGGGGTGAGATAGTGGGGGGGTGAGATGGTGGGGGGGTGAGATGGTGGGGGGGTGAGATGGTGGGGGGGTGAGATGGTGGGGGGGTGAGATGGTGGGGGGGTGAGATGGTGGGGGGGTGAGATGGTGGGGGGGTGAGATGGTGGTGAGATGGTGGTGGGGTGAGATGGTGGGGGGGTGAGATGGTGGGGGGTGAGATGGTGGGGGGGTGAGATGGTGGGGGGGTGAGATGGTGGTGAGATAGTGGGGGGGTGAGATGGTGGGGGGGTGAGATGGTGGGGGGGTGAGATGGTGGGGGGGTGAGATGGTGGGGGGGTGAGATGGTGGGGGGGTGAGATGGTGGGGGGCTCACCCGTAGTCTTCGTACGTCTCCTTCCAGTCGTCGGGCGTCTTGTCGTTGGTCTTGCCGTGAGGGTCCAGCAGGCCCTGCTTGATCATCAGCTTCTTCTTACTCGCCTGCGGGGACGGCGGGGGGGGGGGCCGTGAGCCGTGACGGTGGACGGGAGGTGCGGGGGGCGGCGGCAGTCGCGGTGGGGGGGGGGGGGGATGGGACACGGGGGGGTGGAGTGGGCGGGGGTGACGGTGGTGATGCGATGACGGGGGTCGTGGGGGTCGTGGGGGTGATGGGGTGATGGGATGGTGAGGGGGATGGGGGTGATGGGGGTGATGGAGTCGAGGAGCATGAAGGGTGATGGGGTCACGAGTTTGATGAGCGTTAAGGGGTATCGGGGGGGGGGGGGTGGGGGCGGACGGGGGGGCGACAGGGTTGACGGGGCTTGATGGGGTTGACGGGGCTGACGGGGCTGACGGGGCTGACGGGGCTGACGGGGCTGACGGGGCTGACGGGGCTGACGGGTACACACCTTGGGTCCCAGACCCCACTTGCGGGGGTAGGTGTCCCTCTCCATGATGACGCGCTTGATCTTGGCCACCACGCCGTGGCTGCACGTGGACATCACCGCCGTGGTCATCAGAGCGCTGGCTGTGGGTGGGCGGGCGGCAGGGGTCACGCAGGGTCACGGGGGGTCACGCGGGGTCACCCGCACAGCCACGAGCTACTCATCGATATTTAGATTTTTCTCTTTCCCCCTCCGATGTACCACACATTACACTACCCTACACTAACACTACACTTGTATACACTACACACTACCCTATGTTGGACAAAATTTTTCAATTATTTCAATGGAAATTTGGTCCAACATGGACTAGACCCCGATACACCTGCGCTGGGTTAGGCACTGCCTCACCAATACTTACTTTACTTGGAATGGCACCTTCTACAAACAAAATGAGGGTACCGCCATGGGATCCCCCTTGTCACCAGTGATAGCCAATGTTTTCATGTAGAAATTTGAATCAGACGCCATCCAGACTTCCACCCTCAGACATTCCCTGTGGAAGAGATATGTGGATGACACTTTCGTCATTTGGCTACATGGCCTTCCCAGCTTTGAACCTTTTCCAAGACCACATCAATTCCAGACACCCCGCCATCAAATTCACCATGGAAGTGGAGAAAGATGGCAAGCTGCCATTCTTGGATGTTCTGTTTGAGAGGAGACCTGATGGCTCATTGGGGCATTCTGTCTACAGGAAACCCACCCACACAGATTCCTACTTGAAACCTGATTCCCACCACCACCCCACTCAAAATAATTCTCTCATCAAAACGTTATACCACAGGGCTCATTGCATTTCGGACCAAGACCACCTGACCAGTGAATTAAAACATGTACATCTGACCCTAAAAAGGAATGGATACTCTGACCGTACCATCCGCCAAGCTGTTTCTCCCTCCATACAGAAACAACCACTTGATACTACGATCAAAAACCATCACACTACAATATATAGCAGGCGTTACTAAAAAGATCTCCAAAATTCTAAACAAACACAAGATCCTGGTCCGGTTCAATACAGTACACAAAATCCATGACCTGATCCCTTCCATATTCTTGGTTCTTTCGGTAAAGTATATGAATCACTGCAGTCACAAAAGCTTTAAATCTAAAGTATCCCTTCCGTGAAGGATGTCGTTCCTGACTTACAGTACCCCGGGGTTTACAAATTGAGTTGTACCTGCAGTGATTGCTATATCGGGGAGACGAAACGACATGTCTCTGATCGAATTCGCGAGCACAAATCAGATTTGAAACACGGCAGAACGAATTCTTCTGCCGTAGCTGATCACTGTTACAACGCTGTGGGTGATCACGATATAGTTATCTCCGATACCAAGGTCCTCTGCAAACCCACGGGTTTTTATCAGAGATTTGTCCACGAGGCAATTCAGATTTACAAACACAAAAACAATTTCAACCGAGAGGATGGTTTCAAATTAAGCAACCATTGGAAAGATGGTCTAAATCGAACCAAACATTAAATTAATTTTCAATGGTACAGTATATTTATTCAAGTAGTGGTATCCCAAACTTTCACAGTAGTACATATTATGCTAATTCCTTTGTCAAGGCGTTTTTGTTTCCTCCCTCACACATTAAAGGACGTGACCTGGGCTTGCTGTCTTCACTCCAACGCTGTCCTCTGGACAGTCCGGTCCCTTCACCTGATGAAGGCCGCTTGTGTTGTGGCCAAAACGTCGTGATTTTTGTTGTTTTGATTTTTTACCTACGTGACTTCACCGAATAGAACCAAAGAGTATGGATTCTTGCAGTCACGAAAGCTTCAAATCTAGAATACTCTACACTTGTATACATTATACACTACCCTACACTTGTATACACTAGACACTACACTCTACACTTGTATACACTATACTCTACACTTGTATACACTATACACTACCCTACACTATACACTACACTTGTATACACTATACACTACACTCTACACTTGTATACACTACCCTACACTATGCACCACACTATACACTACACACTACCCTACACTATACACTACACACTACCCTACACTATACACTACACACTACCCTACACTATACACTACACTACATTATACTCTACACTATACACTACACTTGTAAACACTATACACTACCCAACACTATACACTACACTATACACTACCCTACACACTACCCTATACACTACACACTACCCTACACTATACACTACACACTACCCTACACTGTACACTACCCTACACTACACAATACACTACCCTACACACTACACTACACACCCTACACTATACACTACCCTACACTATACACTACCCTACACTACACATTATACACACTACACTATACACTACCCGACACTACACAATACACTACACACACAATACACTACACACACAATACACTACACACTACATTATACTCTTCAGTATACACTACACTACATTATACTCTACACTATATACACTTGTATACACTATACACTACACTTGTATACACTATACACTACCCTACACTATACACTACACTTGTATACACTACACACTACATTATATTCTACACTATACACTGCACTACCCTACACTATACACTACCCTACACTGTACACTACACTACACACTACCCTACACTATACACTACCCTATAAACTACATTGTACACTACCCTACACTATACACTACACTACTATACACTACACACTACACTATACACTACACTATACACTACACACTACCCTACACTATACACTACACACTACCCTACACTATACACTACACTACCCTACACTATACACTACACTGTACACTACCCTACACTATACACTACACTATACTACTATAGACTACACTATACACTACACTGTACACTACCCTACACTATACACTACACTACCCTACACTATACACTACACCCTACACTATACACTACCCTACACACTACACTATACATTACACACTACACTAATATACACTATACTCCACACTACACACTACTCTACACTCACCGACGCAGATGGCCTCGCCCTTGGTGGTGATCACCACCACGTCCTGGTTCACCTCGATGCCATCCTCGTACCGCAGAACGCCGGGCAGCATCACCTTGGCGCCATAGCACACCGCGTTCACCTGTGCCGCACACAGACAAAGGGTCCCCCAACCCCCCAGGTAGCCTTCAACAAGACCGTAGGGGCAAGTGCTCTTAGTAGTGGAGAACAGCAGCGGACACTGTCAAGGCTACCGCCACTGTGAAGGCCTACCGCCACTGTGAAGGCCTACCGCCACTGTGAAGGCCTACCGCCACTGTGAAGGCCTACCGCCACTGTGAAGGCCTACCGCCACTGTGAAGGCTACCGCCACTGTGAAGGCTACCGCCACTGTGAAGGCTACCGCCACTGTGAAGGCTACCGCCACTGTGAAGGCTACCGCCACTGTCAAGGTTACCGCCACTGTGAAGGCTACCGCCACTGTCAAGGCTACCGCCACTGTGAAGGCCTACCGCCACTGTCAAGGCTACCGCCACTGTGGCACACACAGGGTGGGTGGGCAGCGCCACGCAGGGCCGCCTTTGTCTCCCCAGTGGCGATGTTCACCACACGCCGCAACAGGGCTCATTTGAGGCCGAGTCAACCTAGGGGAGACCCACGAGGATCGGTTAAGATAATCGTCAACTCAGCCTTGCCTAGACCACCAACTCTGTGTCTCTATTCGGCATGCGATCAGAAAAGTGAACTCATCTCAGCCTTAAATTTCGATTTAAAGCTTTCGTGACTGCAATGATTCATCTTCTTTGGTTCTTTCGGTAAAGTCACATAGAATGAGAATAACATAATAAATTGATAAAATAAAATAACACAATAATATTCTCACGACGTTTCGGCCACAACACAAGCGGCCTTCATCAGGTGAAGGGACGAGACTGTCTGGTAGGACAGCACTGGAGTGAAAGAGCCACGTTCAGATCACGGCTTTTAAGCTGTGTGAGAGGAACAAAGCGCCTTGACAAAGGAATTAGCATATAATTTAGCATTGAAATGGCTAAGTTAAAGCATACACATCCGCAGAGGCACCCCTTGACAATGGAATTAGCATAGAATTTAGCATTGAAATAGCTGAGTGATTAGCTCAGCAGTTACAAGCTAATCACTCAGCTATTTCAATGCTAAATTCTATGCTAATTCCATTGTCAAGGGGTGCCTCTGCGGATGTGTATGCTTTAACTTTTAACATAACTATTTCTGTGACCAGTCACAAGCTAATCATTCAGCCATTTCAATGCTAAATTATATGCTAATTCCTTTGTCAAGGCGCTTTGTTCCTCTCACACAGCTTAAAAGCCGTGATCTGAACGTGGCTCTTTCACTCCAGCGCTGTCCTACCAGACAGTCTCGTCCCTTCACCTGATGAAGGCCGCTTGTGTTGTGGCCGAAACGTCGTGAGAATATTATTGTGTTATTTTATTTTATCAATTTATTATTTTATTCTCATTCTACGTGACTTTACCGAAAGAACCAAAGAAGATCATCTCAGCCTTGCCTAGACCACCAACTCTGCGTCTCTACTTGACGTAGCGATCAGAAAAGTCGACTCGTCTCAGCCTTGCCTAGATCACCAACTCTGCGTCTCTACTTGACGTAGCGATCAGAAAAGTCGACTCGTCTCAGCCTTGCCTAGACCACCAAACTCTGCGTCTCTACTCGGCGTGCAATCAGAAAAGTCGACTCATCTCAGCCATGCCTAGACCACCAAACTCTGTGTCTCTACTTGACGTAGCGATCAGAAAAGTCGACTCATCTCAGCCTTGCCTAGACCACCAACTCTGTGTCTCTACTTGACGTGCAATCAGAAAAGTCGACTCATCTCAGCCTTGCCTAGACCACCAACTCTGCGTCTCTACTTGACGTGCAATCAGAAAAGTCGACTCATCTCAGCCTTACCTAGACCACCAACTCTGCGTCTCTACTTGACGTAGCGATCAGAAAAATCGACTCATCTCAGCCTTGCCTAGACCACCAACTCTGCGTTTCTACTTGACGTAGCGATCAGAAAAGTCGACTCATCTCAGCCTTGCCTAGACCACCAACTCTGTGTCTCTACTTGACGTGCGATCAGAAAAGTCGACTCATCTCAGCCTTGCCTAGACCACCAACTCTGCGTCTCTACTTGACGTGCGATCAGAAAAGTCGACTCATCTCAGCCTTGCCTAGACCACCAACTTTGCGTCTCTACTCGGCGTGCGATCAGAAAAGTCGACTCATCTCAGCCTTGCCGAGACCACCAAACTCTGCGTCTCTACTCGGCGTACAATCAGAAAAGTGAACTCATCTCAGCCTTGCCTAGACCACCAACTCTTGTCTCTACTTGACGTAGCGATCAGAAAAGTCGACTCATCTCAGCCTTGCCTAGACCACCAAACTCTGCGTCTCTACTCGGTGTGCGATCAGAAAAGTCGACTCATCTCGGCCGACGGGGAGGGGGGGCAGTGGGGGGCCCGGAGGCCCCCACCCCCCCCTCCAACCCCGCCTGCCCCCACCTCCGCCGACCAATCGGCGCTCGGCTCCCAGAGGCCGTTGGCCAATGGGAGCTGAGCTTACTCCCCCACCCGGCAAGACGCTGGGGGGGGAGCGGCCGTGGTGGGGAGAGGGGGCGGTGGCTCTGAGAATGGATAAACATCATCATCACTTCGCACCACTACCACCACCACCACCATTACTACCACCACTACCACCACCACCACCACTAACCACCACCACTACCACCACAGTCATCATGACCATAAACATCATCATCACTTCGCACCACTACCACCACTACCACTACCACCACTACCACCACCACTACCACCACCACCACCACTAACCACCACCACTACCACCACTATCACCACTAGCACCACCACCACCACCACTACTACCACCACCACTACCACCACCACCACTACCACCACCACTACCACCACCACGACTACCATAAACATCATCATCACTTCGCACCACTACCACCACGACCACCACCACTACCACCACCACTACCACAGTCATCATGACGGCCATAAACATCATCATCACTTCGCACCACTACCACCACGACCACCACCACTACCACCACCACTAGCAGCATCACTACCACCACTACGACAGTCATCATGACGACCATAAACATCATCATCACTTCGCACCACCGCCACTACCATAGCTATCGTGATGCTGACAATCATGAGGATGCTGATGATAACGGTGATGACGATCATGACAAAGATGACGATGATGATCAAGACGATGATGCCACACTTGGTTGAGCTATCATTTGTGGTGGGCAGGTCACTTCTGAAAGGGAGCTGCATAGGTCAGCGGGGCCTTACACCTGGAGTGGGAGGGGAGAGTGGGGGGGAGAGTGGGGGGGGGAGAGTGGGGGGGAGAGTGGGGGGTGGGAGAGTGGGGGGGGGGGAGAGTGGGGGGGAGAGTGGTGGGGGGGGAGAGTGGTGGGGGGGGAGAGTGGGGGGGAGAGTGGGGAGGGGAGAGTGGTGGAGGAGAGTGGGGGGGAGAGTGGTGGTGGGGGGGGGGGGGGAGAGTGGGGGTTGCACCCCCGTCCCACTCACAGCGCTGTCCTTCATGACGATCCTCCTGTGAGACACGAGGAGCTTCTCCAGTGGGAAGATGGCTCTGCGCAGGTACGACTCGTCCTTGTTGTGGTCGTACTGCCACTGCGCGTCCAGCACGTCGTGCATCGTCACCAGGTTGTCCTACAGGCAGCACCAACACACACACACACACAGGTACACACACACGCAGGTACACACACGCACGCGCACACAGGTACACACACAAAGATAAAACAAAGATCCCCCGTATAGCCTTAACAGACTGTAGGGGCAAGTGCTGTTGGCGAGCACCTATGAAGGCCGGAACGGTACACGAGGGGGTGGGTGGCCAGCACCACGCCCAACCGCCTTTGTCTCCCTAGTGGCGATGTTTACACACCGCACCAGGTACTCATTTGAGGCTGAGTCGACCTAGGGGAGGCCCGGGACCAGTTCAGATAATCGTCACCGGTGTTGGCCGTGAGCGGGAATCGAACCCGTGTTGGCAGGTTCATTGCTCAGCGCGCTAACCGCTACACTACCGCTCCTCACACACACACACGCACACACACGCGCCACACACGCACGCGCACACACGCACGCACACGCACACACACGCACGTACACAAGCACACACACACACGCGTACACAAGCACACACACGCGCATACATAAGCACACACACACGCGTACACACGCGCGTACACAAGCACACACGCACACGCGTACACGCACACGCGTACACAAGCACAAACGCACACGCGTACACACACACGTCGTGGGTTTAACTCTCCAACACACCACAACCGGTTTAGTGCAGAGCCGAGTAAACTAATCGACTACCACCACCACGTTTTGTTTACGTGACCAATCCCTCACTGTCTGTGCTGGGTGGTGGCGGTGACGAGTCTAACGACACACATTTGTGTTTACGCGATCTAACACAACAACCCCTTCATTACGAATCGCACGAAGCTGTCGTGGCAACCGGTGAAGGCCGCCCGCAGGCTAACGCACAGAGACAGCTGCCACTGGGGGTGCCCATAGGCTAGGCCACACAGCAGCAGTCATCTCAGAGCCCCTTGCTAGCGCGGTTGGCTACGTACGGTGGGAAACAAGTTCACCTTACATACGTACACTATACCATACACTACACTTGTATAGACTACCCTACATTATACACTACAGATTACACTAACCTATACACTACACCTCCGGTGAGCACGGCTAGCTACGTACGGTGGGAAACAAGTTCACCTTACATACGTACACTATACCATACACTACACTTGTATAGACTACCCTACATTATACACTACAGATTACACTAACCTATACACTACACCTCCGGTGAGCACGGCTGGCTACCTACGATGTGAAAGACGTTCAACATACGTACGTTTTACATGACGCACAGGGACGGCTGCCACTGGGGGTGCCCCTAGGGCTACACCACACACTGCAGCAGTCATCGCTACCCCTACTGGCAGCAGACTGAGACACAGGGACGGCTGCCACTGGGGGTGCCCCCCTGCGCCCCGCTGAGTGGGCGAGGGTCGTTGTAGGGTGTGGGTTGGGTGGCCCGGGACTCGGGGGGTGGGCGAATTCCCGGACTGCGATTTCCCAACCTCGACCACCACCCCGGTGTTGCTGTTCCAAAGAGTAATTAACGGCACGGAGAGAGGAGCTCCGGACCGAACTCAACAACTTTGGATTTGACCACAGACAGAGAGACGACTCGTATAGAGGACGACTCGTATAGAGGACGACTCGTACAGAGGACGACTCGGAGAGAGGACGACTCGGAGAGAGGACGACTCGGCAGGAGGAGAAACCGGAGGCACAGAGCGGCAAGGCGGTAGCAGCAGCCACGCGGCGGTACTGGTGGTCAGCTCTTCTCATGTAAACGAAATACGCTAATTAGTTGCTAGTTCAGCACTAACCGGTTGTTTAGTGCGGGAGTGTAAAACCTAGGGCGACATTTGACAATTCATGTACAGTAACGACGACGACGACGACAACAACAACCAGCTTCGTCAGGTGACGGCCAGGAATTGTCAGGGTTGGGATCGATCCCACGACCTCCTTGCAGACCAGGCGAGGCACGTGAACATCTACAAATATGCAGCAGCAGCAGCAGCAGGGTTCGGGATACCACGTGAAATAGTCAACGTCTCCCAGCCACCGTGGGGCCCTATTGGGTGGTGTGGCGGTGGTTGTGGCGGTGCGGGGGGGGTGGGGGAGGAGGGCTGGCCCAGTCCTCACCTTCTCGCTGAGCACGCCGGAGCGAACTCTGCGCAGCTCCTGCATCTGACCGCCGACCCCCAGCAGGAGGCCCAGGTGCACGCACAGCGTGCGGATGTAGGTGCCGGCCTCGCAGCTCACCCAGAAGATACCTGGACACAGTGGGGGGGGGGGGCACGGGGGGGAGGATTAACGCAAAGACCAAACCAGCGGCGGGAAGTTGGACGGTTCGCGCGAGCATCTTTTTATCAACTCACTCTGTCTGTTGTATCCTCAAATCTTGTAAACTCAACTTTTTCACACGCTATGTTTCGGCTTGGGTCTAATTCTTCACGGTAAACTAACTCACCTTGGCTGTAATTGACCACGGTCCCTTACGGAGTTACGGTACATTGCAATGAAGCGTGTTTTTAAAAAAGTTTTTAAAAAATATTACTGAACTCCCCCTCCTCTTGGCTAAGGGCGCGGTCCGCCTGGCGGAGACGTTTGGGGCCAACGACTGGTAGGCTAGGAGATGTTAACTACCTCGCCCGGTATACGGGAGGTCGCGCGGGTTCGATCCCCGACCCTAGACGCCGGTGCTACTTCTGGAGAGTTTTCTCTCTCCCCGTGGTCACGTGGATTTTTTCCGGGGGTTCTCCCGGTTTTCCCCTCCACAGTTATAATCAACATCGGGCGTTTCAGAGCGTGATAAGCCACTTTGCTGAGCTATCATCTGTGGAAGCCAGGTCGTTTCTAAAAATAGCTACATAGCTCAGTGGGGCTTTACACCTGGCAAAATAAAAATAGTTTATAAAAAATATTTTACTGTGAATTAAAGTGACTCTACACCAGGGAGGGTGTGAATGTCAGTGACTCTGCACCAGGGAGGGTGTGAATGGTGGTGACTCTACACCAGGGAGGGTGTGAATGGTGGTGACTCTGCACCAGGGAGGGTGTGAATGGTGGTGACTCTGCACCAGGGAGAGTGTGAATGGTGGTGACTCTACACCATGAAGGGTGTGAATGGCAGTGACTCTACACCAGGGAGGGTGTGAATGGTGGTGACTCTGCACCAGGGAGGGTGTGAATGGCTGTGACTCTACACCAGGGAGGGTGTGAATGGTGGTGACTCTGCACCAGGGAGGGTGTGAATGGTGGTGACTCTACACCAGGGAGGGTGTGAATGGCAGTGACTCTACACCAGGGAGGGTGTGAATGGTGGTGACTCTGCACCAGGGAGGGTGTGAATGGCTGTGACTCTACACCAGGGAGGGTGTGAATGGTGGTGACTCTGCACCAGGGAGGGTGTGAATGGTGGTGACTCTACACCAGGGAGGGTGTGAATGGTGGTGACTCTGCACCAGGGAGGGTGTGAATGGTGGTGACTCTGCACCAGGGAGGGTGTGAATGGCGGTGACTCTGCACCAGGGAGGGTGTGAATGGTGGTGACTCTGCACCAGGGAGGGTGTGAATGGTGGTGACTCTACACCAGGGAGGGTGTGAATGGCTGTGACTCTACACCAGGGAGGGTGTGAATGGTGGTGACTCTACACCAGGGAGGGTGTGAATGGTGGTGACTCTGCACCAGGGGGGGTGTGAATGGCGGTGACTCTGCACCAGGGAGGGTGTGAATGGTGGTGACTCTGCACCAGGGAGGGTGTGAATGGCTGTGACTCTGCACCAGGGAGGGTGTGAATGGTGGTGACTCTGCACCAGGGGGTATTTCACTGTACCGAGGCGGCGCTCTGGGTCGTACTCGATCATCTTGCTCTCGTAGATGGTGCGCACGCGAAGCTGGCGCTTGACGGCGGCGATGAGGGGCGGCCGTTGGAACAGGGCCCCCGTCAGGGTATC